CCCGGACGCCCGCCTGCCCCCGCCGCTGACCGAGCCCCCCGTGGGGCTGGCAGTGACCAGGGCCTTCTGTGTGCCCGGCGATGCCCCGGGGGCCTGGCCCCCAGGGGAGGAGTCTCCCCTGCTGACCGCGGGTCTCGTGTCTCCCCACAGAAGACACTGGGGCGGAAGCGCGTGCACAAGGGCTCCTTCAAGGACGGTGAGTGGCCGCGCGGCGCGGAGCTGGCCCCGGGGAGGCCACCGGGGCGGGTGGGGCTGGGGACGGAGGATGGGCCGGGCGGAGCTCCGGGACTGGGGTCAGGTGGCGACTGACCGTGTCTCTCTGAAGGGCCTGGGAAGGGGTAGGAAGTTCTTTGGACGCCCCCGGCCAGGGGCAGGGGACAGGCAGAAGCCCCGCTCTGCCCAGCCCCCAGTGCACCGGTCCCGGTGGCATCGGGGGACCGGGGCAGGTGGGGAGCCTGGCGTGGGGCGCCCAGGAGGATGTGTAGAGGGTACTGGGGGGCCCAGAGAGTGTTCGGCCTGCTGGGCACCCTGGGACCATAAGGAGGCCGGTCAGAGGTGCCTCGGCCGGGGGTGGGCCCACTGGGCCGGGGGGCTCGGGCCGCAGCTGGGCACAGGCGCCGCCTGCCCTCCCTCTGGGGACGGTCACAGAGGCCACAGCAGCAAGGCCGGTCGGTGCGGGGGCACAGGTGTGTGGGCCTCACTGTTCCCCCTCAGGCGCCGGGGGGCAGCAGCCAGCTGGCCGGGCCAGCGCAGGCCCACGCTGCCCGCCGGCCCGGCTGACACGCCCCTCCCCCAGACCCCCGGTTCTACCAGGAGATCCGGGAGCGGGGCCTGACCACCAGCGTCGAGTCGGACGACGACTTGTTGGACGACCCTCCCAGCCCCGACGGGGCCCGGAGAGCGGAAGGCCCCATCGTGGTCAGGAGCTTCCGGCCCCCGCAGATGACCTGGAGCCAGCTCCCAGAGGTGGGGCGCCGCGCCCAGCTGGCCAGGCCGAGGCGGGGCTGGGGGCTCTCTGGGGAGCACCGGCAGCAGGACGCGCCAGGCCCCAGCGGGGGGGCCGGGGGGCAGCCCCGTGATGAGACGCCGCCACCCGCTGTGTCCCCAGGTGGTGGAGCTGGGTGTCCTGGACACGCTGTCCGCTGAGGAGCGCAAGCGGCAGGAGGTGAGGGCGGGGTGACGCCGGCCCCCGCGTGGGAACTCCCGGCCCCGCCCCGCCGGGCCAGTGGGTGAGGCCCGCTGCCGTCCCCAGGCCATCTTCGAGATCCTCACGTCCGAGTTCTCGTACCTGCACAGCCTGGGCGTCCTGGTGACCGAGTTCCTGCAGAGCGCGGGGCTGCGCGCCACCATGACGCACACGGAGCATCACCACCTGTTCTCCAACGTGCTGGACGTGCAGGCCGCCAGCCAGCGGTGGGCGGCCCCGGGCAGGAGCACCACGGGCGGGCCCCGAGGCTGAGTGCGGGGCCCCG